AACTCACATCAACCAATAAGATTCGAGCAAACTCGCACCATATTTTCGAAGTATTTCATATTACAACGACAACAAATTTATCCATAACGAACGCGCGTATGCTACAAAACGAAGTGCGATCGTTTATAACTATGTACTGCTCTTTTTTATGTGCGCCTGGCCAACCAAATTTAGTTTTCATATAGAATTCCTACCGCAAATGCGAAAAAATGAAGTTTAAATAAAAATGAATGAAATTGAATTTGAATGTTTTCAGTAAAACTGAAGAATCAGCAAAATTTCAATTTTACAATTTGTATCACTGAAAATCCTACCATCCCCCTCGTCCTGTATGTGGCCTACAAGCTGCTTCCTCACAACATTTGCTAAAAATCAGAAATTGAAGAATTTGTCTGATGTTCCCTTCAGAAAGGAGAATTGGCAACATTACCTATTAGCGATTTGAAATATTATTTTAATTTATTTCATATTATGAACTATATTATAAAATTTATATAAAATTGCCATTTATATGAAATTCCTTATTACTTATATTAGTTCTAAACACATTTCATATGGTGCTTATGCATGTTTACTTAATATTATAATTTCATTCAGGGGTGTTGTAGAATCTGATAGTTGTCAGAATCAGAATTGAAACCGATAAAAAAATGTTGTAGGTGTCATGAATTCAGATATTATTAGTTTGATGTTCGAAACAGAATTTGTAACGGATTTGGGTGTCATCGAAACCAATTTTATCGGTTTTGATATCAGAAATAAAGCAAGAGGATATTCGCTAACAAATTTAAATATTGCGTTGTTATTTCTGTGCGCTGTTAGGAAAACATAAGAACCGAACACAAAATACACTAATAATTGAGTTTATGAAAAAAAATCCAGACATTATAAGAGGATTTACAAAACGCAATAAGCCAATTATAGATGCATTATGGCAGGCATTAACGGAATCCCTAAATGCTGCAGGTCCACCACATAAAGATGTCTCCGGGTGGAAAAAGGTAAATAAATGAATTTCAGTGAAAATTAAACTGCAGTTTAACAGACAACAAAATTGAGAGTCGAGCAACAGGGGGTGGCCCCTTTTGTAAATATCAGCTCACTCAAAATGAAGAAACAATTGTGCGTCTTTGCGGCATTTCGCAAACCGTGGAAGGCGTACCAGGCGTTTCTCTTGACACCCAACCCGTCAATGAGAATGTATGTATATGTTGCAATTGCAGTGAATCCAGATATAGATTTGTCTTCCTCATCGCTAGAGCAACATATAGAAAATTTACCTTCTGATTAGAAAAATTAGATAGTACACCAGATTGTTTAAATAGATTTTTTGATGAGGAAACCAACAACCCAGTGTTGAAAATTTAGATTTTTGATGAACAATTAAGTGTTGGTTTTCCCGAAAAACTGTAAAAAAATTTCAGAGGCCGCCCTTTTGTTAATTTATTAAAAAGCTTTCAAATGTATTAGATAATCTATTAGTAAAACTATTTTTTGTTCTCCTATTGATTTTAGATATTTATAGTTTTTTTTTTAATTTAATGTTGCTATGTATTATAAAATAAAATAAAATAATTTGCATGCAAAAAAAATATTTAAAATTGTAATTTTTTCATGGATCGACGATTCCGTACTCCTTAAAAGTTTATTTTTTATATCGACTTGAAACTGCTTTATTAAAAGACTTGGAGGCCTGTTAAAATACTTACCTTGACTTTTTCCATTTAAAGTAATAAGTTTATAATACAAATATTTGTGTATTAAAAAATCACACAATTTTTCGCAATTTAAAATGAAGTGAGTTATGGAAAACTTGCAATGTTCACTGATAGCTGAAAAATTAAGTTACATAAATATATTATATATGTTTGTTATACAGTACTTTTCGATATTTAATTTATTACTATTTTAATATGGAGCTTGGTGATGTTGATATTGTTGCACATTCATATTTTGTTGATTCGGTAATTGTCTTTGAAGTTGAGCGACTAAATTTGGAGTTTGTTGCTGGTTTATAGTTTGATTCTGAGATTGCACCATTCCACCTAAAATTTCAAAGATTTCGTCAAATGGTTATGAAATTGTAAAACTAGTCTAGGTCTAAACCTATAAAGAATATTTGTTTCCAAACTCTCTTAGACTACTAACATTGGAATATATAAATGATTATTTCTTTAGTTCAGTTTTTTCGGTTCTACTAGCATATTTTTAACTATTACAACCCAAAACAGATGATTTTACTTTCAGTGCACGTGAATAAAAAGTATTTGGCCTAAAAATTAAAGAACGTTGTTTTTATACCCTGAACAGGATATATTAAGTTCGCCGCGAGGTTTGTAACATCCAGAAGCAAACGTCGGAGGCCCTATAAAATATATACATAAATGATCAGCATGATGAGCGGAGTTGATTTACCCACGCCCGTCTGTCTGTATATGTGCAAACTAGCCCCTCAGTTTTTAAGCTATCGATCTGAAATTTTGCACTTGTCCTTTTCTCACTAAGAAGCTGCTGATTTGTCGGAATGGCCGATTTTGGACCACTGTAGCCATACAAACTGAACAATCGGAATCAAAATCTTGTATTGGAAACTGTTTTATTTGACGAGGTATCTACACGAAATTTGGCACGGATTATTATTTAAGGAAATAATGCAATCTCCGAAGAAAATGTATAGATCGGATGACTATAGCATATAGCTGTATTAACTAAACGATCGGGAAAGTCTTGCATTTAAACCTTTTCATTTACGGTATCTTACAAAATTAGGCATAATTTGTCTAAAAATATAATCTCCGAAAAATTTCAGATCAGATCACTATATACTCCATACAAACTAGGATCGGAATCTGTGCTTATGGAAAACTCTTTCATTTAACGAGGTATCTTCACAAAATTTGGAATAATGCAATAATGCAAATCGGAATCAATGCTTGTATGGAAACTTTGACAATATCTTCACGAAATTTGGCATGGATATTATTAAAGGCAACAAAGTATCCGCAAAAATTGTTCAGATCGATCATTATATCATAGCTGCCATACAAATTGAATGATCGAATCAAGTTCTGTGAAGGGTATTATAGCTTGGTACAATCGAAGTTTACGTTTTCTTGTTTTCTTTTGAATATAATTATGGCTTTATTCCTCGACATAAGCTACATTTGCAGTAATTACTTGACTGTAAGTCTGTATTTCCATATCGGTTCGATAGTTTGAAGCTCGAGGTCTTTACAATTATGGTTTTTCCATTGGCCGAGGGACAAATCTAGTGAGTTGGTGACTAGATGCCGAATTCCTTCAAACTAACGGTGTATCACGTTTATTCAAAACCTACGATGATCCCTAAAGCGATGATAAGTAAAATTGTCGAATTCTTTAAGATGTCATATGTTAACTAAATCACTCAATTTAATTTCACTACAGCATTATATAATATAACCCTTTATGGTCTATTTGTAATATCTTGGGTATCATTTAGATATATTATCTATTGAATGATATATACGTATAAATCTAAACCCAAATTTGAAAATCCTTTATTAGGTTTATGGAGGTGGATGTATTGATCTAATTTGATCGATTTGAGATATTATTATCAGTTTAGACGAAAAGGTTTGTTTGGCCATTTTTACCATTAAAAATTAACAACGATTGTGTTTCAGAAATCACGTCTACGGAATTTACTTTTACACAAAACATTTCGTATCGAAAAGTTAAAAAACAACCAGAAGAACAATATTTATACAAAGAGATAGAGAGGTCTTCAACGCTTGGATCGACTCAACACATTGTGGTTGTTTGGTATGTCAATGTTAGATATGTACAAAATGTCTCAAAAAGCTCGTCGAGTATGTAAGGTCAAAGATGATTGACAAATAGGCGTGGGTTTGTGAATATGACGTCGAAACTGTCTAATATGGCGAATGGCGTTCAAAAATGAGCCGAAACCGAGTGAACCATCCGATCTGTTTTGAGAGTTCTATAATTTTATCCGATTGCGACAGGTCGTGCCGAGCATCGATCACCTACAAAAATTTTGTTTGTTTGTATATATACAACATATGTTATCTAAAACTCCATACACTTAGTGCTATCCACAATAGAACGCACATTTAATACAAAACTTCAAGTAGTTTTCTACTATTTAAATAGCAGCCACAGTTATTTACCAGAGGCAAAATAGAGAGAAACCACTATATGAGTTACCTCATTTTACTGGTTGTTGTCGAAATTCGAAATGTAAAAATTTAAGAAATGGGAAGAAACAGCTTAAAAACTACTGTACCAGCTTAAAACTTTTAACTGTGTTAACTATAGTACAAAGGCACTCAGAATAATCAATGATTTTTATTTTGAATATAACAGTCTTCATGACTAAACTAAATTCAGTCTTAATTTTAATTTCAGGTACAATCAAATCTTTGTTAACAATATACTTATCAATTAATCTCCTTTTCTTGCGTTTATTTTGTTTTGTATTCGAACTTAAAATTTCTAGATCTATTTGCTCTTTTAATCTCATTTTTCAATAATACTTTTAAGCAATTGAGAACTTATCTAAAACTCATCATTTTCGTAATACTCTTCCAACAGTTTATTATTATTTTCTAATCTTGTATATACGCCTCAAGCTGCTAGAATTTTAGTCGTTCTTTAATTTATCAATTTTTCACACTGGGGTTGTTGGTTTCCTCATCAAAAATCTATTTAAACAATCGTTGTACTATCTAATTTTAATCAGAAGGTAAATTTTCTATATGTTGCTCTAGCGATGAGGAAGCAAATCTATATCTGGATTCACTGCAATTGCATATATACATTCTCATTGACGGTTGGGTAAGTCAGAAACGCTGGTCATTCCACGGTTTGCGAAATGCCGCAAAGACGCACATTATTTCTTCATTTTGAGTGAGCTGATATTTAAAGGACCCTTTTTACTCTAATTTGTTGTGAGCTAATTTTCAATTTCTCTTCCACTCATTATGACCTATAAAATAAACTAGTTTAATTTCTAAATTCATTTATTTACCTTTTCCACCAGAACATCTTTATGTGGTGGACCTCAGCATTTAGGAGTTCCTAATCCATAATCATCTATAATTGCTTATTGTGTTTGTAAATCTCTTAATATGTCGATTTTTCATAAACTCAATTATTATTTATTTTGTGTTCGTTTTATGTTTCCTAACAGCCACAGAAATAACAGCACGCAATATTTCTGATATATCAAAGTGATAAATTGTTTCATATAAATCTTACAAATTCTACAAACATCAAACTAATATCTAGATTCATGACACCTACAACATTTTTTTGTTAATTCTGATACAATATCAGATTCTACACCCCTAGAATAAATTATATTTAAGTAAACATGCACACGCTTTGAAATGTTTAGAACATAAAGTAATAAGGAATTTCATATAAATAATTATTTATAAATTTAATATAGTTCATAATAGAAATAAATTAAAATATATTTCAATCATTAATGGTCTATTGCCAATTCCTTTCTGAAGGAACATCAGACAAATTCTTCAATTTCTGAATTTTAAATTTGTGAGAAGCAGCTTTGTACACATACAGGACAGGGGATGTAGGATTTTCAGTGACTATAAATTGAAATTTTGCTGATTCTTCATTTACTGAAAAACATTCAAATTCAATTTCATTCATTTTATTAACTTCATTTTCTGTTGCGGTAGAATTCTATGAAAACTAAATTTGGTTGGCGCGCACATAAAACGAGCAGTACATAGTTATAAACGATCGCACTTCGTTTTGTAGCATACGCGCGTTCGTTATGGATAAATTTGTTGTCGTTGTAATATGAAATACTTCGAAAATATGGTGCGAGTTTGCTCGAATCTTATTGGTAGATGATGGTGCGTCTGCGTTTTTTTTGTAGCTTGCGCAAATGTTTGATTTTTTTACAAAAGTCATATTGAGGGACAAGGCAATTTCGGGAATATTCACATACAAATTGACTATTTGAAACTAGTAAACGACAATAGCTGTTTGAGTTCACCTATTAGACATCACTTTTTAATTATTGTCTGTGGTGCTGCTTGTTTAGCACAGTTCGTTTTTTCAAATTTACATCAAATATATTGCTTGAGTTCAAATCCTAACACAGATGTAGTTTTATTCCTTTTTTAATTGTTATAAACCTTTTTTATTAAATTTATTTTAATTTCATTTTAATTTTTGCCTCATTGTATAAATGTTCTTCAANAATTTAACAGAAATGGGAAGAAACAGCTTAAAAACTACCTGTACCAGGTTAAAACTTTTAACTGTGGGTTAACTATGGGTATACAAAGGCACGTCAGAATACCGGCAATAATATTCAATGATAAAAAAACGATTCATATTATAATATAATAATCCCTCCGTCATTTGGTATCGGATGTATAATATCGAATATTTGTATAAAAGTTATTTCAAAAAATAAACATAACACAATTAGTTTTGCTTGCCTTGAATTTGCATCATTTGATGATGTAATCTCTGCTGTTGAAATTGCTGCTGTGTCGAAACTACACTCGGTTTTCCACCTGCACATTGTTGCCTTGAAAAAGGCTGTATAGTATTCTGTCCTATAATATTTCCCATGGTTACATTGGGAGTCGGATTGACAAACTGACCACGATTATTAGTTACAGGGTTAGTTCCGCGTTGTTGAAGATAATCTGAAGAACCGCTCCTTTGGCTCATTTGATTGTAGGAGCCTACAATGTTAGAGGGTGGAACCTGGCTACTTCCGCCACTATTCATAATTCCAGATTGCTGATACTGATTAAAATTATGAAATGGATTCGTTGGTTGATTAATGATGTTTTGATTCGAATTTCCAGCACCTATGTTAATATTTTGCTGCAAAACATTTCCTGACCCTACCAATCCAGATGCAGATTGAACATTCATCAAGCTGTTTTGATTATTTGATGACGTATTTATGATACCTGTATTTGGGGTCATTGGCATTGTTTGATTACTAGCTTGTGAGTTTACATTCTGGCCGCCCTGCTGCGCAGCCAGGATTCCGTTTGGATTTAATCCTTGAGATATATTACCAATAGTGCTTGTTAGCTGGTTCTGATTTGATGTTATTCCTCGCATTCCTCCTCTAACGAATTGTTGTTGGACGGAACTAACAGCGCCTTGCGTTTGTAGTCCTTGTGTCTGTCGTATTTGTTGATGCTGCTGAAGAGCGTTAAATGATGATGAATTATTTTGATTAAAATTAGGCTGACGCTGCCGAAGCATATTGCACAAAGCCTGCTTGGATTGATTATGTTGCGGGCGCTCAAAACGATTTGCTATTCAATGAGAATTAATACAGAATTAATGAAAAGTTATAACTATAGGCCCTGTGGTAAAATGTATTCAATAACTATATAAGTTAAAAAATATTTGCATACCTTGATGAGGATAAAATTGTGGTTGTTGCTGCATCTGGTGGTATTGATTTTGTCCTATCCATTGTTGTTGATTTTGACCAGTTAATTGTGTTACTCCCTGGGGCACGTTTCCCATAAAACCTATTTGTGTATTTTGTGCAGTGCTAAGCTGCTGTAGATTACCTTGCATTTGTTGTTGCATCATTATAGCAGAATTTTGTTGAAGGAGTTGATTAGAATTAAATTGTGGAACAGTAGCCTAAAATGGATATGAAAACAAGTAAGGAAGAGCTAAGTTCGGATGTTACCGAACATTTTATACTCTCGCAAAGTCAAATGGTATACTCGTTTTAGATTTCTTTGTGGATCTTGCCGCCTTGTTCTATGTTGACCGATATTTTTGGTAAAAAGTCAGATATAGGCACTGGGGTCCACATATTCATTACCTAGGGGCTTGAAAAGTTTTGACTCGATTTAGACAATTTTTGGTCACAAGGTGGCATACTTCAAACGCATTATTCACGCAAAGTTTTACCCGATACAATCATTTTTGCTTGATATGCATAGTGGAAGGTGAAACAATCAGATGGAATTGAAAATGGTGTTATATGGGAAATAGGCGTGGTTGTAGTCCGATTTTGCTCACTATGACATAGAAATATGAAAAGAACGTTATGCATTTGGTTGAAATCGGTTAAGTAGATCTCAAGATATGGGGATATGGGTTTTCACCTAAAAGTGGGCGGTGCCACGCCCACTGTCTAATTTGAACGCGGTTCCTATGAAGTCATCTCATACCATCCCAGAGATAAAATTTAATGTCTCTGGCGTGTTTACTGCTTGATTTATCGCGATTTTAGTAGTCTTTAACAGTACCGTTATATGGGGAGTGGGCGGAGTTGCCACCCGATTTCAACAATTTTCACACTGTAGGTAGAGGTTCTAAAAACATTTGCTTCCAGTGAATTTTGTTATTATAGCATTAGCAGTTTAGGAGATATGCACATTAAACCTATTAGGGGCGGGACCACGCCCACTTTAAACAAAAAAGTTTAACTGCAGATGCCCCTCCCTATTGTGATCCTGTATACCAAATAAGAGTATTGTATCTTGTTGTGGAGCTTAGTTATGGCAATTTATTTGTTTTTGAATAATGGCGTTTTGTGGGCGTGGCAGTGGTCCGATTACGCCCATCTGCAATACCAATCGTCTCACGGTACCAAGAAACATGTCTACCAAGTTTCATAAAGATATACTCTGTAGCAACAGGTTGCGAGAGTATAAAAATGCACCTTTTAAATATCATTAAGAACATATTTTACACTTTACTGCGAAATTTATTATAATCAATTATATTATCTAGAACTCTCAAGATTAAGGAGGAATCTTTATATATGAAAAAAGAAATTATACCTGTGTATTCATTTGCAGGTGATTCATTTGACCTTGCGGGTTCATTTGTTGCGGTGTCTGTGATTGAACTTGAGGTTGATGCGATTGCGGAACCACCTGGGTATGCGTTGGGATATTTGTGGGAGAAGTTTTCGAAACTTTCGGCTTACGCTTACGAGTGGTTCCCTTTCCTCGTGTTCTCCCAGTGGTAACTGCACTAGGTGATTGATCAATTGATGAAGGAGTATCTGGCTTCATCTCGTCTTTCTAAGATGTATAGAAAATTTTAATAAATAAATCAACAACTACACAATTCTGCTTCTGTTACAATGCAGATCTTTTCCGGCACGGGATCTATGTCTTCTGGAGGCAGCGGCAAGGATTCATAAAAATAACTAATGGGTTTAACTAAACTATGGGCGTGATATTTAAGACTGCGATGTGTTTCTTCATATGCTAAGCTTTTTCTTTCAGATTTGACTGCACCAAACCAGACCCATGATAAGGGCGCTGGATTCTTATGACCTTCCAATATATCCCAAACACTTATACGTTGCTTGTCTGAAATACGAAGTTGTTTCTTGTCCATATCACATATTTTGTTTCCTTTCATATCGATACCGGCCGGCTCACATGATATAACCTGCAATGTACATAGATTACAACTTGAAATTTGTACATTCGTTGTTAAATTACTAAATTTCTTATTAAAGTTGATTAATATCGGCAATTGTAGAGAATCTAACAAACTATAAGATTCGAGGCCGACCGAAAACCTCTTCCGTTTTCGGGTACGGAACTCAGTTGCTTGTGCAACTTCTTTTTCGAACTGAAAATTCAGTCCTTCCAGCATTTAGGTTTAAACCACAGCCACCACGATACTCCCCAAAGGGCCGAACCCAATGAGCAGATTGAACGAAGTCCAAGGACATTCTGCTCCCCGTGGTACCAGAGTTGAGTCTCCGGTCAGACTGTGTAGCCGAAACTACTTCCAGTTGAGCTACCCATTACTCAATGACTGGTGACATTTGTCGCTTGAACTTCAAATGTCTTTTTATTTGGAATCTCATTTAAAGTCTATAATATCAGTTCAAGCTGAGTATTATAGCACTATTTCTGACATTATTTACTATACTGATAAGTCTGGAAAAATAAATTAACAGTCATAGTGCATTTGGCTTTTAGTCGCCTTTTACGACAGGCATGCATGGAAGTCCAGGCGGGCAGGAAGCCTTAAATGGTACCTCAGGGACCTCCAGGAGGGAAAAACTCCGGAGGAAGCCGAAAAGTTGGCGCGTAACAGGGTGAGAGGAAACAATGCCTCCCCTGCCTCGGAGAAGCGGAAGGGTGGCAATACCGCGTCTAGCAGTAAAAGGAGTAGCGGAAATCGAAGCCAACGCTCGGTTAACGCAACTCAGGCCGCAAGGCGGGGTTGCGAAAGGGCAGCTCCTTCGACCACCCAAGCCGCGAAGCGCAAGAGTGGGCAGCTAACGCCACAGGAGCCGAATAACACCAAGCGGCAGAGAGGCAGCAATGCACAGGGGACCGGAGGCAATCACTCCGCCCAGGTCGAGAATTCAGCGTGGAGGCTCAATCTCTGCATCGATGTCGAATCGTATAAATTCGTCAGGAGAGCGAGCTTCCGACTGATTTACAGATTCAGCTCGGTGGTCCTGAGGCCATTTAAGCCTAAGACGGCCACCGAAAGCGAAACGGGGGAGAAGATGCTGGTAGATGAGATTGCGACTCATCCCGGCACCAGTACATCGGAGCAGGTGGCAACTGCCGAGACCATGGTGAAGGTCCCTACGGAGAAGGCTGGCGAACAAGGGGGGACGCTACCCTCCACGGACGAGCTTCTCGACGGACTCAAGGACCTAGCGGGTGGCAACGCGGAGGACGGCGAAGGTGAGGAGCTCCTCATGGAACCGATCCTATAGTGGGTCCACAAACAGAAGTTGCCCAGATGAACCTGCACCACGCGGCGTCGGCCTCGGCTATCATCGCGAGCAGGTTCACAGCGGATGGTCTGGGCATATTGCTGATCCAGGAGCCATGGATCTACAAAGGAGAGGTCAGAGGCCTCAAAACGGTGAATAATAAGGTAATCTGGGATCTCTAAAGTGAGAGACCTAGAACCTGTATAGTAGGTAGGAACGATATTGATTTCTTTTGTATTTCAGAGTTCCTAACACAAGACCTGGTCGCTGTGCTGGCAAAAAAGTAACGAAGGAGCGCATTTCGTCCCGGCAGCGGCCTACTTTCCGGGAGACACGCTGACAGCACCACCAGAGGCCGTCGGTAACCTCGTGGAATACTGCAGGAAGAACAACCTGCCCCTCGTCCTGGGATGCGACGCCAACGCCCATCACATGGAATGGGCCAGCACGAACTGCAATACACGGGGTGAGTCTTAACTTGAATTTATAGTCAGTAGGAATCTAAGTATTGTAAACGTGGGGTGCGAACCCACCTTTATAACCAGTGTAAGAAGGGAGGTGCTTGACATCACTCTTGGTAACGAACTCACGACAGGGCTGATCGGGCAATGGAGAGTGTAATCGGAACCCTCCATGTCAGATCACCGCATCATAAGACTCGCACTAGGGGTAGAGGTCAGGCAACTCCCTCCCAGGCGTATCCCCAAAAACACAGACTGGACCACCTTTAGGGATACGCTTGAAATAAATGTCAATAGGAGGGGGCAGCTGGACGGCAGTGCCACTGCTTCTGGACTGGAGAGCAGATTGTCTGCGCTAAATCAGTCTATTATAGAGGCATATAATAGTAGCTCCCCCTAAAGACGACCACCAAGAACCGCAGCTGTCCCTGGTGGTCAAGTAGGCTCTCAGACCTAAGGAAAGCGGTACGCAAGCTATTTAAAAGGGCTAAGCGTACCGGGGACTGGGAGAACTACAGGTGCGGCCTAACTGCTTACAACAAGGAGATTAGGTCAGCAAAGCAGAAGAGCTTCAGGAAGTTCTGTGAAAGCGTCTCCTCAACGCCAGAGTCTGCAAGGCTGCATAAGGCTCTGGCTAGGGGCAAGACCGACACAGTACTAGCAATTAAAAGACAGGATGGGACCTATACGGCCAGCGCAGAGGAAAGAGCCACGGCCCTTCTACTTGCGCACTTCCCGGAGACAATTCGAAAAGACCGAATTCGACCCAGGGTCGAACGAAAGCCATCTCGCTTAGATTGGACAGTCGCAAAACAGCTCTTCACTGCGGACTCCATCAAGTGGGCTGTGGGGATAGCCTGGCGCTGGCATATATCCCAGAACATTGGCGCAATGCAAAGGTGATCTTCATACCCAAGGAAGGAAAGACTATTCGTTGGCAAACTTCTTTAGACCAATAAGTCTAACTTCCTTCTTACTGAAAAGTATGGAAAAGATCATCGATCACGAAATAAGATCAAAGGTGCTGAAGGCTGCACCGCTACACGCGATGCAGCATGCTTACAGAGCAGGCAGATCAACCAATACTGCTCTGTATCAGCTAACTTCAGAGATCCGAAGTTCGTTAGACGGGGGTGAGGTGTTATTATGCGCCTTCCTTGACATCGAAGGTGCTTTTGACAATACGTCTCACGAGAGCGTGTCAAGAGCACTAGACAAAAGGGGGTGTGGCGGTGCCGGTGCGCAGATGGATTGAAGCAGTACTGCGCACCAGGATTGCTGAAACCACAGTAAGCGACATTAGGATTCGTCTTGGCACAACAAGAGGCTGTCCACAGGGTGGAGTGCTATCCCCCCTACTTTGGAGCCTAGTTGTGGACGATCTTCTCGAGCTGCTAACTAGCAACGGAATCCGCTGTCAGGCATATGCGGACGATATTGTTATATTAGCTAGGGATAAATTCGCAATTATTGTACAAAGGGGATTGAGGCTGGCAAAGAAATGGTGTAGTGGGGTTGGCTTAAATATCAACCCCTCCAAAACTACAATCATACCGTTTACCAGACGCAGGTTGCTGCCAGGCCTCAGGAACCTATCCCTAGGCGGTATGGAGCTGGAGATGGCCAACACGGTCAAGTACATAGGCCTCACGCTGGATTCCACTCTTCAGTGGAAACAGCATGTGGACCTGACCTTAGCCAAAGCTAAGAAAGCGCTCATGGTGTGCAATCGACTTGCAGGGAAATCATGGGGCTGCTACCCAAGGATTTTCAGATGGTTGAACACCATGATTGTGAGACCGATCATAACATATGGAGCGGTGGCCTGGGTTTCCAAAGCATCGCAGACCTCGGTAGGACTTCCGACTATCGAAGCTGCAACGACTTGCCTGCATCTGCGCGTCGGGCGCGATGCGTACGTGTCCGACAACAGCACTGGAAGTAATGCTGGAGCTAACACCGTTACATATAGTGATCGAACAGACGGCCAAACAGACCTTGCTTCAAATGTCAGCAGAAGGGTTTGGCAAAGGGAAGGTAATCTCGTCGCAGCAGATGAAGGCCCTAAGTGACGCAATGCCACTGGCCCTTCTTCCAAGGGACAGCATTACCAAAACAGTAAGCTTCACTAGGAAGTTCAAGGTTACCCTTGGCAGTAAGGCGGAATGAAACGATTCCACGCTGGACCTACTGCTAAGGGACAAAACTATCAAATGGTACACCGACGGCTCGAAAACGGCGGAAGGGATTGGTCCAGGGGTCGCAGGACCATGGGAAGTTTTCCTAGCATATTCCAGGCGAAAGTATATGCTATAAGTCGGTGTGTAGAGATAAACCTTCAACGCGACTATCGCAATAAGAGTATCGCCATACTCAGCGATAGTCAGGCGGCACTTGAAGCGATCTCAGCTTTTGAGGTCAAAACCAGAACCGTGCGTAGCGGTTGATCCACACACCATTAAAGAGCTGCTCCGTAAAGAGGAAAGAGCAGGCAGGGAGAGACATTGGCAACATCTCCAAGGCATGCGCCATGCCAAGTTGCTAATCGGAGGTCATAACCTCAGATGGTTTAAAACCGTAATCAATCTCCCGAGGAACAAATTCCGGCTACTGGTCGCGTTCTACACCGGACATTGCAGGCTCAACAAGCATTAATTTAACATGGGCTTGGTCTCTTCTGCAAACTGCCGGTTCTGCGACATGGAGACGGAAACCCCAGAACACCTGATAGTGGACTGCACAGCAGTCTGCAGACGCAGAGTTAAGGCCATGGGATCCATGTTTCCAAACAGGGATGGCATCGCTTCACTAGCACCTAGCAGTATATTGTAACACAATAGACCATAGGTCGCGGTGCATACCTCAATCTTTATCTGTCTATCTATCTATCCAAGAAAAAGGAAATTTTTATTTGTCATAAAAATATTGTATAAAATATTCAAAACAAACCGAAAAGCATTGAAAATAGCTGTTATACCACTTTAATGAGGTATCCGCATACTCTTTTGTACGAATTCAACTTGATAACTTTATTATTGCTTTTACTTCTAATTTTTTGACAAAAAAAAGCAGCGCACACACACAGCGAGCAGAGAAATGGTTGGAGATCGACAGAGCGCACTTTAGGGTTTGTTCTTTTCAATTTTTTTAAACAATATTATTAATTTTTTATGGTCAATAAAAGAAATATGACCGTTCTTTTTTACAATAGGTAACTATATAGACATACCTCGGTTGTCTGCTTGTAAAGTGGCAGTAACTGGCGAATAACTTTTATCGAAGCATTATTTTTTTCACCAATTTCTTTTTTTAACTTTTTCATTAGGTTAAGGTACAGTTTTTTATTTTCATCTCGTTCAGAATGATTCTCTGTTAATAATGTCGAGTGAACCAACGTAACTAACATATCCACTACTGTAGTAAAGAGTTCTCTAAAATGGAAAACAGAAATATTTGGATATGGTAAATTAATAATTTAAAAAAATATATACATATATATATTTAAAATATATTTCAAATAATAATAGCAAAGATTATAATTTAATTCATTTAGTTATATTTTATTATTGAAAGAAGAATCATACTTCCTTGGTTGCCTAGAAATACGTATGTATATAGAACATATAAGAATGTCTGTCAAAAGAAAAATACACTCTAGAGCGTTTTCTGAAACTGAAACTTAAGACAACATTACGCTTTATTACATGTCGGAGATCTACTTTCCACTATTAAAAAATCACTTTTATGTCTATAACTACTACTTATTATTTGCTTATGGTATTTTTTATATTATTTCAATACTACATTGTTAATGTTGGACTTAAGCTTTCTAACATTTTTGCAAAACTTCGTTCAAATTCAATTTGGAGGACGTTTGCAAATATTTGTACCAATTGAAAATTGAAATAGATTTATTAAAAAAAATATGAAGGGGTTTTGAATGAAGAATTCTAGACCTCGATGAAGTATTTTAGGTGATACTTTTAAAATCAAAACAAAATGATAACAATTATGTTGTATTATTATTAATGAATTAAAAAAACAACAGTTTCAAAAAACACTCCAGGTGGGTGATTTAGTTTAGGCCTATGCTGTATATAAGCCTATTAAAATACGTATACCTATACTAAAGAGCTCTTTAGCTTCGCTTAAGGGATTAGACCAATCTAGAATCCTAAAAATGCTTAGCAATTTATTTTGGATGTTAGGAAAATAGAATCGGACTTCTATCTTACAGGCTTTATTAAACATGTATTTGTTGTTGTAACGGTTACCTAGTCCCCGTTTGGGTGGCAAATTCCAGATTCGTTGTCGCCGAGGTCATCGAGGCCCAGGAAACGACATAGGGAGAAGGGTGTTAGATGGGTGGGGTTTGTTGGGCATGCAAAGAGGTGGTTAGTGTCATGCGGAGACTCATTGCACGCAGGACATGTGTTTAGTATGTCGGGATCTATTCTGGATAAGTAGGAGTTTAACCTGCTACAGTATCCGGAACGAAGTTGCGCGAGGGTCACTCTGGTTTCGCGAGGCAACTCGAGCTCTATGTCTGCTATTGGTGGTGGTTTGACTCCTATTACGCCATTCACTGAGAGGGAGTCTGTGAAGGTGTTGATGGCTCCACTGTGAATGGCGGTCAGTGCCTGTCTGAAGTTCGTTGCGTCCGAAGTCCGGTCGGCGTACTGTCTAATGTCGTCGACGTAGTCAAGGAAAGACCTCTTGATGTTCCTAGGAGGCGGCTCCGCTACAGTCAGGCGACTGCAGTAGTGTTTTCGTAGAAACCACCCCAGTAGAAACTGCTTGGAGAGGAGTTCGTTGTGTTCCTTAACCAGAAGCATACGGGCCTCACTATGTAGGTGTTCGATTGGAGACATCAAGAGGCATCCCGTGATAGTTCGGAGTGCAGTGTTCTGACAGGTCTGTAGCTTCTTCTTCTGCGTGTCACTGCATCCAGGCGACCATATTGGGGCTGCGTAAGTTAGGACCGGCCGGCCGATTGCCTTGTATGTTGCCAACAACGTTTCTTTGTCTTTTCCCCAAGAGCTGCCGGCAAGCGACTTGAGGATTTTGTTGCGGCTCTGTACTTTGGCAGTTATCGCGGTCGTGTGAGGAGTGAAAGAGCACAGACTGTCCAAAGTAACGCCTAAAATTTAGGATTATTTACTGTCGGAATTTTTGTGCCATCGACTTAAATATTCAGGTCCAGTCTGTACTCCTTCGTCCAATTTGTGAAGATGGTCGCTGTGGATTTAGTGGGAAAGTGTTGGGCTCCTTGCAGAGAAGAAGCGAGAAGAGAGATCGGAGAGGTGGCTGTTTACTTTTGAACACATGCCATCGATTCCATTTCCCGACGTCAATATCGTACAGTCATCAGCGTACGAGGTCACTGAACCGCTGGTGGCTGGGGGAGTTTCGAAATATAAAAATTAAACAGTAGTGAGGAGAGGACACCGCCCTGCGGAACCCCCTGTTTAATTTTCCTAAGTTTGGAGTTTTGACCTCGAAACAGTACGGAAGAATGCCAACCGCTCAGGTAGTTCATAGTCCACCGCTTCAGCCCTGGAGGGAGCGTTGATTGTTCTAGGTCCTCAAGTAGCGTTGTGTGATTGACTGTGTCACAAGCTTTTGACAAGTCCAACGCTACGAGGATCGTCCTCTCGCATGGTGGCTTCTGGTTCAGGCCATGAACTATCTGGGCGTTTATGACGCTAAGTGCTGTGGTGGTACTGTGCACTTTACGGAAGCCATGGTGATGGCCTGCTAGGCTCAGGTGGTATGTGTATGACGGGAGTAACAAGGCCTTAAGTGTCTTCACTACTGGGGAAAGGAGAGTTATCGAGCGATAAGACTCCCCTTTGTTGGCGGGTTTCCCAGGTTTCAGTAGTGGGACCACTCTTCCGACTTTCCACACATCGGGTATTTGAAGAGTGGATATCGACAGGTTGAGGACCCTGGTGAGATAATTTACTCCCGTTGGGCCTAGGTGTTTTAGCATCAGCATGCTTATTTCGTCAGGGCCAATGGATTTAGACGATTTCGCCTTTTACTCTTACACTCTGAACCTCCCCATCGGTGGAAGTAAGTGGTGCGCAGTCTTTTGGCATTTTGCGCAGCCGTCGGGTAACACGTCGTTTGGCCTTGTCAGTCGAAGAGTGCAGTGTAAATTGTCGGCTGAAATAGCTCGCGCACTTCTTCGGGTCCGAGGAGGCATGACCATCGAATTGAATTTCAACCCGATCGTCATGTCTTCTCGGATTTGACAGGGCCTTGACAGTAGTCCAAAGCTTACTCACACCGGTGGAGAGGTTGCAGGACTTCAGGTGCTCTATCCATTTTGTCCGCTTATGATGAGTTACCATTTGCCGAATCTCCAAATTGAGATCCCTTATTCGGGGATCACAGGGATCGGCATGGCGTAAGGTGTCGCGCTCGTTTGCTAATACAGCTGCTGCGGCTGGGAAATTAGGGCGGAGTTCCGCGATTCTTCCAGCCGGTATGAAGCGAGCGGTAGCAGCAGCGATCACCTTGCGGAATTGACGCTCGCCAACGATGACGTCCGTAGGAATGGATAGTGCGTTGAAGGTGCTCTCAGTAAATTCTGTGAAGCCGACCCAGTTAGCTTTGTTAAAGTTAACATAAGTGCGGTTGTCCACAGAAATAAAGTCAGGAGGTTTCTCGATCGAGATAATTATGGGCAGATGGTCTGATGCGAGAGTTAGCATAGGTCGCCAGGTTATACTATTTATCAGACCACCGCTAGCGATGGTAATATGGCGAGCTATTACAGGTGCCCATAATTCTGGTGGGGGCTTCGTCATTCATTGTGCAGAATGTCGAATCGTCTATCTGTTCCGCCAGCTCCATCCCCCTACGATCGTTTGACAGGCAGGAATGCCAAAGATCGTAATGCGCGTCGTCTAGCACCAAACGTTTTTCACCACGAAGTAGCGCATCTATGTTCGGGTGATATCCTGTTGGGCAACATGTAACTGGGGGGATGTATATATTAAATATTTCGAGCTCGACATCGCCTGACCGGAAAGCTATACTCTGACATTCTAGGGTAGTGTCCCTACGGTCGATGTCAACATCGATAAGACGATACTGCACAGTGTTGTGGAGGTTGGTCAGACTGGGAGTCATGCTGTCTGTATGAGCTCCTTAAGGCCGTGGAGGTCCTATCATGGCCACTCGACTAGAGTGGCAGCGCAGTGCGCGAACATGGTGCAGGTTGCACAGCCGTTGAGGCAGATGTCGCATTATTGCGTTGACAGCATGGGGCCACTTAACTTGTGGTCCACTCCCTATGTGTCTTAAGGCCTGAACAGGTCTTAAGATGGCTCCATCCATTGCATGTATTGCACCTAACCGAGGTGGAGTTTGGATGGAGCCTTTTAGCGCAAACGCAGCAGTAAAATTCCTCGGGGCCCGGGTTGGACTCGATGCCAGCACGGGTCAGGAGGATACGGAGCAACCCTGCTGCTAAGCGTTGCTCCAATGACGACAAACTTAATCTAAAACTCACCGATCCAAACAGGGTTAGATCGCCGAAATAACAGCCCTTGGCCGGATAAAATCTGGGTCAATTCCGGTACCGCAGAATCGGCTGTTGTGGGAATTGAAACTTGTATTTGAGTACATTTACCATACCATACAAAAAAAACACAAAAAAAAAGAAAATACTACACCATAAAAAATGTCGATTTTAATTTTAATATAAAAAGACGGCTACTGAATGACGATGACGGCGGAATTATAAAAAGTGGTTTAGCTTTACCGAAAAAAATTAGTAGCAAAAAAGGGATATATTCGGTGGTACCAAACATACTCACGCAGTTACCTAACATCAAAACTGGGAAAACTTTTAGGTGATTGGAAAATTTTATATTAAAAACATGTGGATAAGACATCAACATTCAGTATTCGACGAAACTGTAAATTGATTACAATTATATTATTAACCTTATTAACTTATACTCACACAGTTTGCTTCGTGTCCGTGATATTTATATTAAGATCAACATAATTAACTCAAATGAGATACATTACGAATAATCAGATTATTCAATTCAATCAGCTAACGATTTTATCTTTGCGTATGTGGGTGGGGAAAGGTTGGGGGGAGTAGTTTTTTGTTGGGAAATCTCCAATACCTTAAGCTTAGGATTTTCAAGTGCATATATCATTGCAATTAAGGTGCCAATAGATTCACTGCTTCGAAGTTCTGCTTCATTAAGACAGGTTTGCATTCAATCCAACAGCACCCTTAGCTCAATCTCATCACACTTGGAATGTGTCGGCGCTCCGCTTCTGTTGCATACTCAGTAAGCAGGTAGAACGTAGGAGGTGCATCGAAATACTAGGTCTTATCAAGGTTCATCTCACCGCCATGACAACATTATACAAAAGCCACTTAATAACTGTTTAGTTATCTGTCAAATCTTCACTTTTTTAGCTTGACCACATCAATGATACTTCGACTGAACTAAGTTGAACTGAGTCGAGTTGCAAACCGTAATAGTGTATTAATCAATAGAATGCAATTTTTTTTACCGAAGCAAAAGGTTTCGAATGCATTTTATATAACGTACAATTTACTCACCGATTTGAACTTGCATCAATTACTCCTTGGCAGACCAGCTGCGCCAGTAATATGGCCCACTCCGTAGTAGAATTTCCATTTTTTTGTATTGTTTCAAACATCCCACCTACCAGGGAAAAACGTAATTGAAGCGCATCTAAAATTTCTTCTCGGTCTAGAAGATCATTAATTCCATTCGAAGAATCATACTAAAATTATGAAAAAACAAAATCGCTTTAATCAGTGTAATCAATGATTTTCTACTAAAATTTATTTTAAATTATAATACTTATAGAAATTTCGAAACACGTTTTAAACATCGACATGGGTCATGTTATGGATCGAACTATAATTCCAAGGAAAATTCCATTAGTTAAAATTTAGCTTTAAACAAGAAAAAACTTTAACTTCGGCTGCAGGTATATACATACATTTTATAAGGTCTCTAACGTTTCCTTCTGGCGTTTCTGAATAGCTTCTGTGCAACCAAAGCTAATATTTTTTCTTGTTATACCTGTCTTATGAACAGATTTCAAAACTTTAAAGCGTTTTCGTCATAGCTCATGTTCAAAGTCAGTGCCCCTCGTATTTTAAAAACTACTGCACCGATCATTTTGAAAATTTGAACACTATTTCGAAACATAATTTACGAGGGAAATTTAATAATATTTTTCTTTTTACAATAACACATTAACCGATTTTGTCCCAAAAATCGCATTTTTTTCTTCAAAGTGTTCATAAAAAGTAAAAGTTTAAAATTTCCTAAAACCATCTCAGCATTACCTGAACAAAGCGATTATCTAACGATATAATTTTAATTTCAGTTGATCTAGCACCGAGTTATGTGCGTCTTTCCTCCGAGTCGCTCCAGAGTAATTGCCGTATTTTTTAAAATTTGTACATGAAAATTTAACAGAATATTCTTCAAATGTCAGAATAGAATAATGTACCAATGGTTTTTATACTCTTGCAACATGTTGTTACAGAGTATAATAATTTTGTTCACATAACGGTTGTTTGTATCACCATAAAATAAGCGACTTAGATATACGGTTATATACCTATATATATATATAAATGATCCGGGTTATAAGTGTGAGTGCTGTCTGTCTTTCCGTCTGTCAAATAAAAATTGGGTTATCTTAATGAAACTTGGTACGTGTTACTTGGTAAAAAAAAAAAAAAATTAGGACAACTTCGTAGATGGGCGTAATCGCAACACTGCCACGCCCACAAAACGCCTTTAATCGAAAGTGCCATAACTAAGCCGTAAATGAAAATAGAGAACTCAAATTTGCACCTGTTGTCTTAAAAAAGTGGGCGTGGCGACACTCCTCACAAGTTTAATGTATATAGCTTCCAAACCAATAAAGTTATATTATCCAAATTTTCACAGGACACATTTTTTCAACGCTTCTTACGATAGATCGGATGATAACTCCCAGTGGCTATATGGTACGATGACTTTTTATCCTTTCCTGATAACAGTATGTCTGAATGTCAAAAAATAGGTTGAATCGAGTCTATACTACCCTGAGCTCCCATATACCTAAAGTAAAGAATTTCATACCGCATATATCGGCAAATATGCAAGTTATCTAAATAAAAATGAGAGAGCGTGTTTTTCTTATAACAGAGTATCTTTGTGCCTAATTGGGTGAAAACTTCACCTAGCCCCTAAATAATTAATACCATAATTTCGAACATACCGTTCGTTTAATGTGTAAATTATATATTTAAAAAATTCATTGAAAATATGTTCGTCCCTTTTATGGTCACCAATATACGAGTACTCCATATAATGATTTCCGTCTTTTCACCTGACTTTAAGTCGTTCCGGTTGGTGAAAATTTAATATTTTAATGAAATTAAGTGGACAAGTCTTTAAAATTATTAAGCACTGAATTAGAATTGAATTGGTCTAGACCTTGGTCTAAACCTCATATCCTTAATATAATGAATTCTCTGGTTGACGTTTTCCACATTAGCTCAATATATATTAAATTTGGCCTCTTCGGTTGAGTTGAAATCATTCTAGCAAGTTGCAAGAGTATAAAATGTTCGGCTACACCCTAACTAAGCCCTTCCTTACTTGTTGTACATAGATTTAAACAGCTCACTAACATAAAAATGAGATTGTTTTACACGAATTAACTCTACACTTGCATTTGATACATATAGCTAAAGTTACAGATTTCGGAGGTTGAAAACTTTTTGAACCTAATTATACCGACCCAATTGTTTGCAACGGCATAAGCACTTCATTAACAAACTGCAAGTCCAGCCTAAGTCTTTAATAAGTAAAACTAAATTATGTTTTAAACTGACAAACCTTAAAAGTTCATCTAGCGTAAGGTTAAATATATATATATGAATATACTGAATATAATATATATATATATATACTAGGCGCCCTCCGCTGCGCTCCGGGACGCTCGCTCGCCTACGTCCGCCCCCCGCCGAGCGCGAGCTAGCTCGCTCTTATGTTAGTTGATTCTCGACAGCAGCAGAAAACTTTTATATATAATAGAGAGATATATACTAAATATAATAATATATATACATATATACTGATATAATAATATATATGTATATGTATACTGAATATAATATATATATACTGAATATAATAATATATATATATATATATATATACTGAATATAATAATATATATATATATATATATATACTGAATATAATAATATATATATATATCCCAAGAATCGTTAAAAGAAATTTTCGTTCGCTCAACGAGCAAGAAGAAAGTATCTTACGTCCACCTGTGCTACCTGAACGTCAGAGGTCTGCGTACAACACTCTCAACATTTCAAACAGCATTAGCGGCTAACCAGTACGACGTTGTATGTATTTCGGAATCCTGGCTTCACTCCCTACACTAACACGACAATCGATAAAGTTGAAAAGGTGCAGCGTAAATTCTGTCGCTGACCTCTGCTTTTTCTACAAATTAGTCAATAACATCACTGATGCTCATGAGATCCTAACGAAATAGATTATTAAAAACATCGAAATCCAAGAAAAATTATGTTATCCATGGTCCTCAGAATAGACTGGCTAAATTAGTAAATTCACTTCAAGGTGAAATTGATTTCTATGGAGGAACATACGCTGCTTTTACCGAAAACACCAAGAGACACCTGCTCGTCTAAATCAAGTCTGAATTACATATTAACTTACTATTATTTGAATATTTTCCAGATATTACACTAATATACCCTAGCTACTTTTGTATAATACTTGAATTCTTTATTATATCTATGTATGTTGCCGATTGGCGTTTAAATAAATAAATAAATATATATACTGAATATAATAATATATATATATATATATATATATATTGATACTGAATATATTAATATATATTGCATATTTACCTCAGTAAATGACTGCAAGCAATGAGAAAGTTGCGAGTATAAAGAGCTCAAAAGACTTTCTTTGTATTCGTCCTGACCATTTAAACAGGAAAGAATTAATCCTAAGAAAGGTTGATAGTTTAACGAGAACTTTTTAAAACCAGTAGAGTTGTTGAATCCGCTTAGAGAGTAATTAACAGAGGTACTACTTCGTTCTCTTTCTTCTCCATTGTTATTACCATTATCAGATTTCGGTATTTTTGCACAAAAATTCATACTCTCGAGTGCTCGCCCCGCGACGCGTAAAATTCGCCCTTTCACTGCTGGTGTGAGTTTTGAAATTAGGGGAACTATTAACCACGTAGATTGGTTTTCACTATATACTTCTTTTGATTCAGAAGATAGGGCATCTTTCTGAAAAACGGCAATTGCAGCTTTGGCAACGGTGTCTAACCAATTATTAAGTTCAGTTTGGTTGTTCATAATTTGACGGTGCATTAATTCCAAATCTAACCATGATATTCGAAGAGTCCACTGTTCTAGATTTTCCAAAATTCGAATAATCATTGATCTCTGATCCATTTCGGAAATTATATTATACTCAGCTTCCGGATAACAAATCATATATAATACTCGCTGAACTTGTTTTGTAGTGAGCATATCGTCTATTATCATTTCACATAAATTATCAGCATGTTTCAAACAGCGTTCTAATACATGTTCTTGTGAACATATTTGTTTCAAAACATGATTCGCAAATTCAAGTAAAGATACCTGCTCCAAAGATTTTATACTACTATTTCCAGAATTTGGTTTATTGACATCTTGATCAGTGCCATTACTAACATTTGACAAATCACTAGTACCAAGTATTTGGCTCAAATCGGCGGGTCTGTCCATATTTTTCGGAGTACTCCCTGGATGCACAGGTGTATTAACACCACTTCGCTTGCCACTACTTATAGCAACAGAGTTATTGCTTGCTATAGTTGGTGTTTTTAGATCAACAACAATTAATATTGCCTTTATGACAGCCAAAACAGCTTGTATTGGTATATTTTTGTGTGCACCCACTAATAAGTGACGATCGCAGCTTAACTTTATGTTGAAAGAATCTTCAATAACGTTTACAGGATTCGGAGAAGTGCTCACAGAATACATTCTTGGTTGCGGTATTTCAATTGTTTTAAATAATTTCAAGACTAAATGGCAGGTAAGACGAGCGCCAGCTTCAGCATCAGTGGTAAATTCACCGCCTACTGGATATGCATATGCTAAGGTTGGTAGTGCGAATTTAAGCACAAAATCAGCCAATGAAAAACAGTGCCTTGCTACCAAAATGCAAATGAAAACAGCTAACGAGTTGTGAATTTTGTTATCATGTATGTCCACTTGTTCAAAAAGATGGGGATATCGAAGTTTTTTCGAGGCGTTGCAAATACTTTGCAGCGCAGCTATCCATTCTTCAGAAAGACTGTTACACGAAGCCGTTAACTCTGCACATGAAATGGCGATTTCGTTTAAATGATCGTTATCAGTTGCGTGACAAACAGCCAAAATAGCGTTCGATACAAAACTATAAACATTGGCTGTGGACTCTTGCAATTGACGAATGCAATGATATTCAATTCTACCGGCACGTTTAGGAGAAATAAACAATTCTTGTAAAAAGTTCGGATTATATAACTGCGGTGCGGCACTGAAAATACATATAATATTAGATTTTATTCAAAAATATATAAATATTGTGTTTTACCTTAATTGTTCTGGTGAATTGTAGATGTCTTTAAACGCTTTCATTATTCCAATTAATGAAAAATACTCCGTCTCATTCTCATCAGATTTAAGTAAATCGCACATTTCATACAAATCGGACAAATACGCGAGTATACAACGTTCTGCTGAGCTGCATTCTTTTGGATTGTTTACGTGTTTAATTGTTTTGCACAACCCTTCGAATACTGATAAAGTTTCTTCTGTGCTCAGCAAAAGGCATGAATGATATCTACGTAGTATGCCAACGATATAAAGAGCTAAAGAAGTTGTATATATTCGAACCAAAATAGACTTCTTAGCTTGTAATTGATTTTCAATCTCTGGCAATTCCTTTAAAATGTGATCACAGAAATCTAGCAAGCTATGTATATTCAAAGCCATTTCCATCAGATCAAACAAAAACGCAACGTGTTCTTGAACTGGCAAATAATTATTACTACAGGTTGCAAAGCCATTGAGTTGTTCCAAAACAATAATAGCACACTGAGATGTAACTACATGTTGTTCAAAATACGACATACTCTTGCATTTGCTAGTGGTGGCTTCGAAATTGAATTCATTTCGAGAATGCTTCTTAACTTTGCCACCTTCGGCGATGTCAATACTGAACTTTTTAGAGAAGAGTTTACAAATTTCCTTAGACATTTTCTTAACTGCGTGCTTTTTTTCATCACGTTCTTTTCCGACGCCAAATAGTAAAATATATCTCTGATTACATTCATTGCTATAAGATACACATGCCTCCTCCTGAGGTATGGGGAAATGTTTGGTATATATGTAGTGACGTGAAATGAGATATCCATTCAAAGTCATGTGCGAGTTATCAGCTATTTTCGGACTATCTGGAGTTTCTAATGCACTTTGCTGTCCTTTTTCTTTAATATTTTGTAACAGTTTCCCCAAATCATCATCAACGTTTGAATCATCAAACTCACTATGTTTGAAATCAATTGCAGAACTGAATTCATCCTCAAAATTATGAGAAGGAGAAGGTTTGTTATCTACCGACTCTAACCCACATACCGAATAAACTTCATTTCTATTTACGTGCTCTAATTCTGGGACACAGTTTTCTCTTAAAAGATCACCACGTGAAATCAAGGTGTGCATATAGGCATTATGAGAAAATACGTCATAACGAATTAATGAGCTGAAAAGATGCACAAGATTTATAAATTGTGTACGATTTTGTATTGTACTATTTTCATCCAGGACTGGAGCATCGCGATCTAGAAAATCCATTAAAACGGATTGAAATACTGGAAGTCCACCAATCAATCCAACTCCAGAATTTATAGAATCTTTCTCATCCGGTGCATTTGAATTTTGTTGAGGATCGATATCTACTACTGAAGTAACTTCAATTTGTCGTTTATCTAGCAATATAGCAACAGCTATTGCACGGTGTTCGCCCCATCTAAATAAATTATATCTTCAATATATGTTAGCAATACGTATGTATGTATGTCTTACCTTTGATTAGAAACCGCCCATTCACATAATATTTTTACAGTGGCAGCGTCTTTGTCAGAATTGTAAGTATATTTTTGACGTCTTTGTTCAGCGTCATCGTATTTTAAATCATAATTAGGAAAAATTTTTGTGTAAAGCGAGTCTATATTATTATCCTTATCTCTGCGATCAAAACAGTGGGTGTCCAAATTGTCGAGAATATCTAGTACGTGGGTAAAACAATTTACTTTGGAACTGCGCCATTTTTCCGCAAACCAATGATTTTCGGCATGTTTAGACCTCAATGCAATTTCAGCTTCTGCGATTTGTAATTGCCGCCTTATATTTTGATTCGAATTTTCGCACTTAAATGGCATTGGAAGTTGAGAAGGAACAACAGAAATGAAATCAAGTGGACTACCACACAATGAAGATAGAGCTCGACTTTCATTGATTCCATTCCATATCAAAGCGGTAGGACATTCTAAAGTTATGGTTTGAAGTATAGTACTTAAATATATTACCATATCACGGTGATGGGGGCAATTCTTACAATCACCTAAAGGTAATTCTAAATTATTTTTTGTATTTTTATCCTCTGGATTGGAGACTTCCGTGGTTGCTGCGCTTACCTCATGATGTTTTGTTGGGGCCATACTTCCTGAACCCAGTTCCAAAAGCATACCCAAATTTTTTGCAGCCAGGACTGCCAATTTTCTACTTAATCGCTCTGATTGAACAAAATCCGGCATGTATTGTAAAGCAAAAACAAGTATTAACTTTTTTAAAGACATATCAAATGAAATTTGTGAACGCATTTTTTCTATTAATTCCAATATCCAGTTGAGGAATTCTTGTCGATCAAGCAGTGATTCTTCGTGCATATACTTGCAAAGACGTGTGCAGTATTTCCAATATTTCAATGCATTTCGGCAATCCTCGAAGTTGCTGCCAATACCAGATATAGGTGATCCTGATCCAGAACACAGTATACTTCCAGATGGGTTTGCTGAAGAATTTGTTGAATATGAGGGGCAACTTGTAGAGGTCAATGGACTATGAGCAGTTACAGGACTACTGACAGAGGGAGCTGATATCATATGACCTAAATTTATTCCCGAACTAACATTGTTACAACCCTGGATATTTTTATCAGTTCCAACTGAAAATAATATTTATTTAGAATTTTCGAAATTTGTTCATATACACATATCCTTACGTTGAAAATACTCGTGAAGTTTTGGTAAAAGTTCTCTCATAAATTTTACTATGTTTCCAGTCCATTCTACAGCAGGATCATAAATACTTCGTTTTTTATTTTTTGATTCGGTGAAGCTCAATGTGTAGGCTGCACTTAATTTAATAAACCATGCAGCACGTTGCATATTTACTTGGTTATCACAGAGAACTATTAAAATTTCTTCCTTTTTATTAAATGACGGTGCTTTTTTAGCTAAACTCAATAGAGGTTTATTTCCTGCAAGATCTTTGAACCAAGCATCCAATGCAGTTTTTGTACGGGGCGATACTGGCCAAAAATTATCTTTACAATTAATTTGTTGTTTTTTTCTCATAGTATCTTGTAAGGTCATAAGCTCTTCCTTTTTAGATAAAATAGAATTAATAAAAGATCCTACTTTACTTGCATTCATATTTGAGTTATGAGCAGTTCCAAATTCATCCGCCAATGGAGGCGTAGTTGCAAAGCCATGTTTCACATTTGTCGGCGTTAATTCATCTTCTCTTTGCTTAGCTTCTTGAGGATATACATCTGGTGGTCCCAAACGAGCTCTTTTTAAAGGTCGCTTTTCTTGTAATAATGACAACATTACAGCAAAATGCGATTTATAAATTTATAAATAAACAAATAACAAATGTAGCACTTATCCCAAACACTCAAATCTTGCAAACATTATCCAAACTAAAGCATAAATACTTGGCGATATACATCTTTTTTATTCCATGGTAAAATCGATCACAACAATCGAAATAGCCTATCTATAAAAATAAATCCATTTATAACATTGGCAATAATTATTGCCAACTAAAAGTTGAACCTATACCATAAAAAAATCAATTGGGAAATGATCGAGCTATACATGCGTTTAATAATCAGATGAAAAATGTATAAAATGTTGAACAAAAATAAGTTATTGAAGGCAAATATATTTGTCTTAAAAAGTATTTTATCATCCTTTTGGACCCAGCTCTAAAACCGTATTTGGAAACTGTCCTCCATGCCACCAAACCTGCAAGTATCAAAAGAATCAGCTGTGTTCTAAGAACTTTACACAGCTGAGATCACCTGATCGACATCTGTCTTTTTTGAGCACAGTGATGTAAACAAAAGAAATGTATTAAAATAACTCTTTTGTGAAAAGGTATTTGTAATGAAAACCTTTATGAACACTTTTAGTATTTTCGAAACAAAAGTTTATTGTTTTTCCTCAACACCTCTGAGGTTGCAATGCAGGCGCATTACCGATATATTTTGGGTGTTTCTCAGGATGCCTACAATTCACCCATATAATATATTCAGTTAGTAATTACATTAACAATCTAAGTCGAAATAATCAACTTGAAATAGTTTAAGCTAAAAACCAAATTAAATATATAAAATCAGGTATAATTCATTCGTTAAAAAATACAAGTCAAACAATCCACTTGTATTAATTTCAACAAAAACCAGGTACAGTTCAGAAACAACAATAATAATAATCAAAACAATTACTTAAGTAATAAATAGTGTTTACAAAATAATCTAATCACCCACAGCAAAATACTTATTAAAAATCCCTATCAAAGGAATAGTGGTGGATAAACAGGTTCTTTTTATACCTGGTTCACGAAAACATTTAAAAAACAAAAAATAAAAATCAATAAGCGTATAAATCTAATCGCAAAAATTCTCATATCAAAATCATCGATAAACATTTTGAGAATTAGAAAGTTATTTAGACTGACAGACATATATATAAATTTCGACATATGTGCCGATGGCGCTAAGAAAATAAAAAACCGTCAAAGCTGCGAGTACATCTAGTCTCAAACTGTTAATCTTTCAATATTCTTTCGATCAACTGAAGTGTTTTCAACCACTCATTCCAAAATCCCAAGAGAAACGCTATGAGAGTATTTGTTGAGACTTAAATGAAAAATTTAGCATGACGAAATAAATACTTGATTTTTCATTCTCGTCATCCTTTTGTCATTTGAAACTCCATCCAAGAATACTCCACAATCCATGTAAATTTTGAAGAGTGGGCCAATCTTTCCTGCCTCTATCTTTACATGGGCAAATGCCCTTCGTTTTCCTTTTGTGTCCTAAGTGTTCCTATCAGTTGGAAAACCTGGTTCAGCTTTTTAAGGTGTTCATCGAATCTTTTACCCAACACGACGATAAGGAGGTACACCAAAAGGGTCTTCAAGTGCAATCCTTTTAATACCTGGTCCTCAAGTCTATCAACGGTGAACCAATCCGAAGGGTGTTTCGGTAAATTGCCATAGACCATCTCTTACGGTTAAGGCCGTCTTTTCTTGTCTTCTTTGTTTACCTCAACTTGTCAAAAAGCACTTTTCAAATCAAGTGTTGAAAACCATTTAATGCTGGAAAACGAGTCCAGAATGTCATCGATTCTAGGTAGTGAATAACTTCTTCATAATAATAATAATAATCCACACAGAACCTCCTGTTGCCATCTTTCTTCTCCACCAGCACTACAGGTGAGTTTCATGGACTCACGAATCGTTCGATTACGCCGCTTTCACTCATTTCGCGTATGGTATGGTTTTCAACTTCAGGTTTAGCTAGTGGACGCTACGAGGAACCTGTAGGATTGGTCTTGTATCACCTGTATTAATAAAATGTTTCACAACCTCGGTTCTTCCTAGTTTGAGCAGGAGTTGATTCGCCTTATTTTAATGATCTGCCTTTAGTTCCTCGGTCCATGTGTTAATTTCGATCGAGGTGTCGTTTTCATCAAAAGAATTTCCCTCAAGATGGGTTTCGCATTTTATTACGGTCTCCTGACACTATCCTAATAAATCTCTTTTGTTAAGTTTGGTGACTTGAACTCATTAAGTACTCTTACCCGAACACGTTTGTGTTGTCTTTTTATAGCCAGGATTTCGCCTATAAGTTTGATGTAGACTTTTCTGCAGCCTCAACAAATCACAAGTTGTTTGTCCCATAGTCTCCATCTATATTTGTTCTGTTATTATTCCTCGGCTATCGGGTTATTGTTATCATATCCGAACATAACTGGCATTTTTATATTAATATAAGTCATAATCTTATTTTATGGTGATTTTAATTCCTTGTTTTGCTAGAAAGTCTTCTCCAATTATAACTTCGTTGACCATATTTAGTACTTTAAAATTGTGTAACACAACCATATTTGTGAAATGGATATTACAGGGCATTCTCTTGCGGATTCCAGCCAGTGCTCTTTTTGGCCGGTTCGCTTTAGTTTTACGATTGGTTGCATTTGACATTTGATTGATCTTCTTTAGTTTTGCGTTTGCGTTCAGCTGGATTATTAGACCAATTAAAATCAATATGCCCGCTCTTCTCGCAGTTGAAGCATTTAACTACACAATAATTTTTCTTACACATTTCGGTAGATTTTTCCAATATTTTCTTCCTCCTTTCTACAGATATTTAAAGTAATTGGTTCAACCAGGTGTGTTCTTTTATTTCAACTTGATGAGCTTTAATTATTCGGCAGAGTTGCAGTTTCTTTTTTCAGAGCATACAAAATGATTTCCGCAAACGTCAATTGGACATGATACTGCAGCATAGCGTGTATTCTTATTCTGAACACATAGACGACAAGCGACAGGCAGTATCTGTCAAATATTAAAATATACACGTTCTTATAGGCACAATTATTTAGACAACAGTACGACTTCACGGCCAACGACAACGGCTGTAGTGATGCCACTAATATGTGAAATGAAAAATTATTCCAAAATAGCTTTGATATATCATTTGTAATAACAATTGATAACTTAAAACAAATGAATGGACCAACTTACTCATTTTTTGCACAAAAAAACTTCACTTTGAACGAAATATATAATTTTCATTGATGTGAAAGGTTTTAGTATGGCAACAACGAAATTGTGTATATCAGTTGTTTGATATGTCGGTGCCGTCTTAAAAATGTTAAAGAAGTTGTCGTGCAGTCGTCTTTGTGTTCAAAGCATTACATGAGTTTGAAAATTAAAAAAAAAAAAAAAAAATTGCCTCAATAAATAGAACAATATGCTTAAAATATTATCTTTAAATTTCAAATCCATCCAAGTAAAATTCTAAGACATAGACCTTTTGGAAGTTTCTCCCAGCAGCCCACGTTAGCGCAGCGCTTCACACTTAAACATGTACGTTGTTTTTTTGTTCAAAGTCTGTTAAAAATTAAATTTTTTATAATTTATTTCCTTCGTCCAATAACGAGATTTATCTATGTACTAACGAAATTCAGATGAAATCAAAAAACCAAAAATATGCTGCCCAAGGTAAGAACTTTTTTTGAGACGTCAAAAGAGATGGGGTACAAACAGCTAAGTTTTCTGAATTTGTAATTAACAATACTGTTTAAATATGTGTATTTGACATACTGAATTATTTAAATTAAATACATGATTGTACATATATATTAAAAACGATAGTAACATTACCTATTTTTTAAACCTCTGAAACCCACCTATCCCCTTAAGAAAGCTCTGAATTTTTATATCCTCGGTATACTCCTTAGATTTGTGTGCTTGACCCAAATTAGCTAACCTTTCAGTCTTCGTCGAAACTTATTGGCTTTTTGACGGCGATTCAGCAAGTCGATTTTGAAGATCTGCTACTGTTGTCACGATGCCGTGGTGCAGGGGCTTAGGTCGCAAGGCATTCTCGGCATCTCTCAACCAATGGGAGTAGTGCTGCCTAGCACCTCTCACGCGGGTTGTCAGAAGCCGCATGCGTGCGACAACCAAGAGCTGCCACCTCCTAATCCAGGGTGTTATGCGGCTCCCGTGCCCATTGGACGATTTGCAGCCAGGAGGTAAATTCGGCTGTATTCTAACGGAGCCTTCCCAATACCGGGCCGCATTGGGAAGTAACGGTGGCCTTACCGCGTCATGGGGCTCTGGCGCGGTGGACTTTCGCTTCCCCTCACTAAACGTTGACCGGACGGCTCGCCATGTCGAGCCTACGGTCGTAAGAACCAGATGGAGACAATCAAACAAAAAACAAAAAACTCAACAACGGACACAAAAGGGCAACAACAACAGCAAACGGACAAGGACAAGGCCAAAAAAACCAGCGTCGGTGCAGGTAAGGGAGCTTCAGGGGCTAAACAAAAGTTTAGCTTCCTGGACGTCCTTCCGCCAGAAGAGCGGGGGCTGTTCGAGGAGCATGCAAGGGATGACGATGACGACATGCCCTCGTGCAGCGGCGCTCAGCAGGTGAAATCTACTGCGGCTGGCGCTGAAAAAGCGAACCCCAAAGAGGCTCTCCCGAGCAGGATCACCTGCTCGGAATCGAGCGACTCGGAACGGGCATCTACCGGGGGGGTTCGCAAACGGAAGCGGAAGAGGGGAGGCAGACTACCCCCTCTACCACCAAATGGGAGTCCAGGCGGACAGGACGATCCCAGGAGGGCAGGCATGAGCGGCGCCAGCCTCAAATGGTACCTCAGGCACCTCCAGGAGGGGAAGACTCCGGAGGAAGCCGAAAAGTTGGCGCGTAACTGGATGAGAGGAAACAATGCCTCCCCTGCCTCGGAGAAGCGGAAGGGTGGCAGTACCGCGACTAGCAGCAAAAAGAGCAGCGGAATGCCAACGCCCGGTTAACGCAACTCAGGTCGCAAGGCGGGGTTGCGAAAAGGGCAGCGCCTTCGACCACTCAAGCTGCAAAACGCAAGAGTGGGCAGCTAACGCCACAGGAGCCGCCAAGCACCAAGCGGCAGAAAGGCAGCAACACACAGGGGACCGGATTCAGGGGATTCAGGGTGGAGGCTCAATCTCTGCATCGATGACGAATCGTACAAATTCGTCAGGAGAGCGAGCTTCCGACTGAATTATAGATTCAGTCCGGTGGTCCTGAGGCCATTTAAGCCTAAGACGGCCACCAAAAATGAAGCGGCGGAGAAACTGCTGGTAGATGAGGTTGCGACTCATCCCGGCACCAGTACATCGGAGCAGGCGGCAACCGAGAACATGGTGAAGGCGTCAGCCTCGGCCGTCATCGCGAGCAGCTTCATAGCGGATGGTCTGGGCATTCTACTGATCTAGGAGCCATGGATCTCCAAAGGAGAGGTCAGAGGCCTGAAAATGGTGAATAGCAAGGTAATTTGGGTCTCTCATGTGAGAGACCCAGAACCTGTATAGTAATTAGGAACGATATTAATTACTTTTGTATTTCAGAGTTCCTAACACAAGACCTGGTGGCTGTGCAGGCAAAATGTAACGAAGGAGCGGACTTCGTCCTGGCAGCGGCCTACTTTCCGGGAGACACGCTGACAGCACCACCAGAGGCCGTCGGGAGCCTCGTGGATTACTGCAGGAGGAACAACCTGCCCCTCGTCATGGGATGTGACTGCAATACACGGGGTGAGTCTTTACTTGAATTTATAGTAAGTAGTAATTTAAGCATTTTAAACGTGGGGTGCGAACCCACCTTTATAAGAAGGGAGGTGCTTGACATCACTCTTGGTAACGAACTCATGACTGGGCTGATCGGGAAATGGAGAGTGTCATCGGAACCCTCCATGTCAGATCACCGCATCATAAGACTCGCACTAGGGGTAGAGGTCAGGCAACTCCCTCCCAGGCGTATCCCCAAAAACACAGACTGGACCACCTTTAGGGATACGCTTGAAATAAATGTCAATAGGAGGGGGCAGCTGGACGGCAGTGCCACTGCTTCTGGACTGGAGAGCAGATTGTCTGCGCTAAATCAGTCCATTATAGAAGCATACAACCGTAGCTGCCCCCTAAAGACGACCACCAAGAACCGCAGCTGTCCCTGGTGGTCAAGTAGGCTCTCAGACCTAAGGAAAACGGTACGCAAGCTATTTAACAGGGCTAAGCGTACCGGGAACTGGGAGAACTATAGGTGCGACCTAACTGCTTACAGCAAGGAGATCAGGTCAGCAAAGCAGAAGAGCTGCAGAAATTTCTGTGAAAGTGTCTCCTCAACGCCAGAGGCTACAAGGCTGCATAAGGCTCTGGCTAGGGGCAAGACCGACACAGTACTAACAATTAAAAGACAGGATGGGACCTATACGTCCAGCGCAGAGGAAAGAGCCACGGCCCTTGTACTTGCGCACTTCCTGGAGACAATTCGAAAAGACCGAATTCGACCCAGAGTCGAACGAAAGCCATCTCGCTTAACAGCTCTTCACTGCGGACTCCATTAAGTGGGCTGTGGCCTCCTTCGAAAAATATAAGTCTCCGGGTGCGGATGGCATCCTTCCAGCTTTTATGCAACAGGGGGGGCAGGTCCTCCATCCCCACCTTGTTCTGCTGATGAGGGATAGCCTGGCGCTGGTAGGAAGGAAAGACTATTCGTTGGCAAAATCCTTCAGACCAATAAGTCTAACCTCCTTCCTACTGAAAAGCATAGAAAAGATCATAGACCACGAAATAAGATCGAAGGTGCTGAAAGCTGCACCGCTACACGCGACGCAGCATGCTTACAGAGCAGGCAGATCAACCAATACTGCTCTGTATCAGCTGACCTCAGAGATCCGAAGTTCGTTAGACGGGGGTGAGGTGCTGCTGCACGTCTCACGAGAGTGTGTCAAAAGCACTAGAGAAAAGGGGTGTGGCGATGCCGGTGCGCAGATGGATTGAAGCAGTACTGTGCACCAGGATTGCCGAAACCACAGTAGGAGACACTAAGATTCGTTTTGGTACAACAAGAGGCTGTTCACAGGGTGGAGTGCTATCCCCCCTACTGTGGAGCCTAGTTGTGGACGATCGTCTCGAGCTGCTAACTAGCAACGGAATCCGCTGTCAGGGATATGCGGACGACATTGTTATATTAGCTAGGGGTAAATTCGCAAACACTCTCTGCGATATTGTACAAAGGGGATTAAGGCTGGCAAAGGAATGGTGTAGTGGGGTTGGCCTAAACATCAACCCCTCCAAAACTACAATCATACCGTTTACCAGACGCAGGTTGCTGCCAGGCCTCAGAAACCTATCCCTAGGTGGAACGGAGTTGGAGATGGCCAGCACGGTAAAGTACCTGGGCCTTACGCTAGACTCCACTATACGGTGGAAGCAGCATGTGGACCTGACCGTAGCCAAAGCTACGAAAGCGCTCATGGTGTGCAATCGACTTGCTGGGAAATCATGGGGCTGCAACCCAAGGATTTTCAGATGGTTGAACACCATGATTGTGAGACCGATCATAACATATGGAGCGGTGGCCTGGGTTTCCAAAGCATCGCAGACCTCGGTAGGACTTCCGACTATCGAAGCTGCAACGACTTGCCTGCATCTGCGCGTCGGGCGCGATGCGTACGTGTCCGACAACAGCACTGGAAGTAATGCTGGAGCTAACACCGTTACATATAGTGATCGAGCAGACGGCCAAACAGACCTTGCTTCAAATGTCAGCAAAAGGGTTTGACAAAGGGAAGGTAATCTCGTCCCAGCAGATGAAGGCCCTAAGTGACGCAATGCCACTGGCCCTTCTTGCAAGGGACAGCATTACCAAAACAGTAAGCTTCACTAGGAAGTTCAAGGTTACCCTTGGCAGTAAGGCAGAATGGAACGATTCCACGCTGGACCTACTACTAAAGAACAGTACTATCAAGTGGTACACCGACGGCTCGAAAACGGCGGAGGGGATTGGCGCAGGGGCCGCAGAACCACGCACCAAGCTCTCCATTCCCATGGGAAGTTTTCCTAGCATATTCCAGGCGGAGGTATATGCTATAAGTCGGTGTGTAGAAATAAACCTCCAACGCGACTACCGCAATAAGAGCATCGCCATACTCAGCGATAGTCAGGCAGCACTTAAAGCGATCTCGGCTTTTGAGGTCAAATCGCTACTAGTGCAGGAGTGTATAGAACGGCTGAACAGCTTATCAAGTCTCAACATAGTGCGCCTCATCTGGGTGCCTGGTCGCAGGGGTATAGCAGGAAACGAACTTGCTGACGAGTTAGCCCGCTCTGCAGCCTCTACAAACATGGTAGGACCAGAACCGTGCGTAGCGGTTGGTCCACATACCATTAAGGAGCTGCTCCGTAAAGAGGAAAGAGCAGGCAGGGAAAGACATTGGCAACATCTCCAAGGCATGCGCCATGCCAAGTTGCTAATAGGGGGTTATAACCTCAGACGGTTTAAAACCGTAATCAATCTCCCGAGGAACAGATTCCGACTACTGGGCGCGTTCTACACCGGACATTGCAGGCTCAACAAGCATTTATTTAACATGGGCTTGGTCTCCTCTGCAAACTGCTGGTTCTGCGACATGGAGTCGGAAACCCCAGAACACCTGATAGTGGACTGCACAGCAGTCTGCAGACGTAGAGTCAAGGCCCTGGGATCCATGTATCCAAACAGGGATCGCATCGCCTCATTGGCACCAAGCAGTATATTGGAGTTCATCAATATGCTAGGGCTAGATGAGTCGCTGTGACTTAGGGGAGGGCACAATAGACCACAGGTCGCAGTGCATACCTCAATCTCAATCAATCAATCAATCATACAGTCTTTCTACAGCGTTCATCGTTTCATAGCTACTCGACTCGCAATTAAGATGGTTTGTAAGATTTCTGCTGTAGATTCTTTAGTACAATTAATTTGCAGCTGCCGTCTTTGGAATAGAATTGTGCTGTCAAAGATTGTAACTCGCGGAGACGATCTTTCAATTCGTCCATTTCAGCTTTAATTTTATCCTGCTCTTTCGAAGTTAGTTGGGACACTTCTGCTATTTGTAAGGCCCCGGCGATATACGTGCGTATATTTTATTTTTATCCATTGCTTGTGTTCATGGACTTAACAATTGCTGAACACTGAGTCTTCTCTATTCAGGAATCTTTTTTTTTCTTTAGTCTGTGTGTCTTCTGCTACAGTTGCAAGTAATAATAGGTTGTTTGAACCTGAGGGATTAATGTGCCTAATTTGATAGTCGAATTAGGTTACTTGTAATTTACCTAAAAACTAGGTATAGGAGCTAAATTTATATCCGCAACCGCAGTTTTTGACAGTTTTTTCAATAACTGCACTTCATTTGAGAAGCGACATATATATATATATAAAAATATTTCTGATTAATTTATTATAGTTATGAAAAATGATTTCTAAATTTTACAAAATAATTATATATTACTATTAATTAAAATAATTTACCAACCAGTGTCCATCCATTTTTTGTTAGTTGTTGTTAGTTATTGAAAAACCGCCTCCTTCCCACACACCGATTCTTAGGGCAATTTCCTCAATATCTGGTTAATAATATACTTAACCGCTGGTAGCTTAACTGGATGATAGCTTTAACTTACACAACCGTTTTCCCCAAGTGGTGGTTAGCTGACCTACATATAGTTCGATTATTGTGAATGCTTCGCGAAAACAGTTTGCAAAACTATATTGTAAAAACGTAAAATTGTGTAAATGTATGTGCATGTTCAGACTAAGGCATTTTTGCTGCCCAAAACCGTTTTCGTAGGGGAAGGAACGACGAGGAGAGACTGCGGCGCATGGGTGGAACGCTTTGTCTTATTTTTCGTAACAGTTCGCTGCTACTCAATTCGGCATTTCTTTTCTTAAACCTTTCATGGTAGCAACAGTGGTCGGTTTCAAAAGAATATTTACCTCATGTTCGGATATTTAAATCCGTTTACTCTTTTTTGTATGTAAAGTGCATATATGAATGAATATATGCTTAATATAATATATAAAAATAACGCGCGAATAGATTTTATAGCTGACAGCTGTCATATCATGTTATGATTAAAAACTAATCAAGACTCCTTTTTTCGGTCAAGTTTAAAAGAAGTTAACTGAAATAATAAACTTAGCAATATTATATTCAATAAACACAATTATAAAATTTGTTTAAATTTATATTCAGTCACTTTATTTTGTTGCTTACGATCATCCTTTTCTTATGAAAAATTAAGAATTGATTTTGTTAGTTATTTTTAACACCATGAAGTGGCAGTGCTGCCAAATTCAACTTTGAGATCATGGTCTCTCTCAACAAGCTGAGGAATTTCGCCCGAGAGTTTTTTTTGGGGAATTATCCGATAGTTTGCTTAGTGTGCTTATACATTGGGACTCTTTTGTAACCCAAACCGGTTTATTGTTGGCAAAGGGACGACGAGGAAAGACGAAGGGACCGTGCCTATCGTCTTCGGGTGGCACGCTTAGTGTTTTTGTTAGTTTCAGCTCGCTTCTACCCTTTTCAGCATTCCTTTTCACTTTCAAATTCTTTGAACGGTTGCAAGAGCGCTCGGTTTCAAATGAATTCGTTCACAAAGTTGAATTCTGTTATCTATCTTTTGTATGTAAGATGCAAATATGTATGCATAGAATAATAGAAATATTTTTAAAAATTGTAAATAAGGAGGAAATTAAGATATAGATTATGGAGTAATGAAATTATGAATTTTTAATACAGAGTAAGGAAATATCGAATTCTTAATACTTAATGATTAGAAAATTCTTGTTATAAATTTGGCTTTAAAAATATTAGTAGCGGATATTCAATACATTCTGGTGGATTAGGGAATTCCCGTCTTAAGTATTTCTTTGAAACTTTTAAGCGGGTAGGTATTATGCACATTGTTCTACCATATTCATGGTAATTCATTGCAAGTAAAATGTGTGACCATCATCTCAACATACAAATGAAATATGCAGCACGCTCTAAGTGTTGCGCAGTCGAACCGCACAAATATTTACGAAAATTTTGTGAAAAGGAATGCAGAAAAACTAGACTCGAATTGCTGGACTCTTTTTGGGTGGGCTTTAGTTTAGCATCCCACGATTTCAGGGTTAAGAGGGGTATGGTTGGCTAGAGGAGATTCTCCAGATCACGAATATATATAATTATTATATATATTATATAACTTATAGTTTTCGAGATATTTGCATTTAAATTTGAAAATTTCACAAATTTCATTTTACAATTTCTCGAATTATGGTTATCTTTTCTTTTATATTATGCACTTATTATACACTAACTTTTCACTTCAATGTTTCTGCATATTTATTTTATATTAAATATTTAAGTATTTGCTTTAAATAAGCATTTAATTTTTACACAATTTTCGTAATATGAACAATAACAAATGGGTTCCATGTTGTCAGATAATAAGTGTTGCAATATCTATTATATATATATATATTTTGAAAGCGAATTAAAATGAACAATAAAAGAGGATTATACCCCAAATACATGAACTATAATTTTTTTCATTCTCTTCTATTGATTAATTATGGATTGGCCAGGGTTACTTTTTTAAAGCGCGGCCGAAGGCCGCCAGTGCAGAAAGAAGTCTGACGCGATTGAATTATGAACACCCCGGTGTTTGACCGACCAAGGTTATTTTTTGGAAGCGCGGCCGAAGGCCGCCACTGCAAATGAAAAATCTTAAAAAAAAGCAATGTTAAAGAGAATATATCACTCTCTATAAACTTCAATTTTTATTAAGAATAATTATAATAACAGTGAAGATTTTGAAAATTTGATATATGAATACATATGGCGTAAAAATATAGTAAATCAGCATCATGATCCATTTGTGAAATTATCAGATGCAATAAAACATACGTTTAAGCCATAAAACCTTTTTCTTTTATTAAAATGGAAAATTAAGTTCATAATGTTTTGTAGAGGGTGATTGGGTTTTTTTTTATTTATTTTGATTGCTTTCATTCGTTTGAAAATGTCAACACTTATTATTTGTCAACAATAACACATACGTTATAGCCATAAAACCTTTTTCTTTTATTAAAATATAAAATTAAGTTCGTAATATTTTGTAGAGGGTGATTGGGTTTTTTTTTTATTTTGATTGCTTTCATTCGTTTGAAAAAGTCAACACTTATTATTTGTCAACATGGGAGTCAAGGGTTGCATACCCTTTTTTTATTGTGCATATAACGAGAATTGTGTAAAAATAAAACGCTTATTAAAAGCAAATTTTAAAAGAATTGATATAAAATAAATATGTAGAAACAATGTAGATAAGTGTTAGTATATATTAAGTGTATAATTTAAATGAAAAATTAACTATAAATCGAAAAATTGCTAGATAAAATTTGTCAAATTTTCAACAAATTCAAATATCTCGAAAACTATAAGTTTCCGGCGGCTATAATTATATATATTCTTGATCTTCGGAATCTTCTCTATCTCCAACCGCACCCCTTTTAACCCTGAATCATGGGATGGTATATTGTAAAATGAAATTTGTGAAATTTTCAACTTAAAATGCAAATATCTCGAAAACTATAAGTTTCCGGCGGCAATAATTATATATATTCGAGATCTGGAGAATCTCCTCTATCCAACCATACCCCACTTAACCCTGAAATCGTAGGATGCTAAACTAAAGTTTTCCCTAAATACACATATGTAATTTGCAAAAGCGGCAGCGCCAGCTTATATACACATACATATATACATATTTCTAATCTATAGAACCAACTCTATCCGCCCATACCAATTAAAATATGAAAAATACCGAATTTGGGGATGCTCATCTAAAATTTACCCGAAATTTAAATGTATATATTTTAAAAACTTCAAAAATATTTGGCACCATTAAAATATATACTATTTTTCAGTAGAATCCCGCCTTTTAAGACTGTAATAACCTTCTTCAGGGATTTCTATTCGCCTAGAAACTTTTACTTTAAGATATTTGTTCATTTCCAATCTATTCATCGTTATGAAAAATCAAATTCGAATGGACTTTTTGCATGCATTATTTCAAACCTGCTGCCAATGCCGCACCGGCCTTTCGAGTTATCATAGCTAAAGGGAAATTCCACGGAGTAATAAGAGCTGCGACACCTAAAGGCTGTTTCATTACAATTATTTCTCGATCTTTAACCGGACTCGGTATTATGTCCCCATAAATTCGGCGCGCTTCTTCCGCAAACCATTCAATAAAAGCATTACCATAGGCAACTTCTCCACGAGCTTCATGAATTGGTTTTCCAGATTCCGCACTCATAATAGAAGATATTTCATTTACATTTTTATCAATCATATGAAACCATTTCTGCAATATAAAGTTTGAGTTGGTTTATTTTATTGTACTATAAAATTCCAAATAAGTATTAGTAAATAAAACGCCACCTTCAACAAACTCGAACGTTCTTTGGCCGTAAATTTAGGCCACTCAGATTGTTCAAACGCATTCTTAGCTGCTTGTATTGCGAGAGCAGCATCATTAACATCCATATTAGGAACAGATCCGACCACACTTCCATTAGCTGGATTGATGACTTCAAACGTTTTATTACAGCTTGCATTAATCCAATTCCCATTTATAAAGGCCTTTGACTGTACCAAAGATGAAAATGGCTTGGTATCCAGTAAAACAAGTTTCTGTCGCAAAATATTACAAAACAGCATTATGTCTTTCAAATCAAATAGGGATGTAAGCGAATAATCAGTTGGGAGTTTATATACCCAGTATTATCGGTTTTGTCAGTGCCGTTTCACACAGGGACTCAAAAGAGTCTCATACCAGTTTATTGTGGGCGAGGGGACGACGAGGAAAGACGAAGGGACCGTGCCACTCGTGTTCGGGTGCACGCTTTGTGTTCTTGTTCGTAACAGCTCGCTGCTATCCTTTTCAGCATTCCTTTTCACTTTCAAATTCTTTGAATGGTTGCAAGAGCGCTCGGTTTCAAATGAATTCGATCGCAAATTTGAGTTCTGTTATCTATTTTTGTATGTAATATGCAAATACGTATGCATAGAATAATAGATATATAATATTATGACAAATTGTAAATAAGGAGAAAATTAAGATATAGATTATGGAGTAAACAAATTATGAATTTTTAATGCGGAGTAAAGATATTATGAGTTTTTAATACTTAAAGATTAGGAAATTCCTATTATAAATTTGGCCTTGAAAATATTAGTAGCGGATATTCAATACATTCTTGTGGATAAGGAAATTCCCGTCTTTAGTATTTCTTTAAAACTATTTAGCGGGTAGGTACTTGTATTATGCATATTGTTCTACCATATTCATGGTAATTCATTGCAAGCAAAATGTGTGACCATCATCTCAACATACAAATGAAATACGCAGCACGCAGTGTTGCGCAGTCGAACCGCACAAATATTTACGAAAATTTTGTGAAGAGGAATGCAGAAAAACTAGGCTCGAGTTGCTGGACTCTTTTTGACCGTGTGAATGCCCAGAGCGACACCAAAAGAAAATTTGAAAAACATCAGACTCTTTTGAATCCCAATGTGAAACGGCACAAACGATTTTAAATATAATACTGTAAGTGTGCTTTAACATTGGGACTCTTTTGACCCTCATTTATTTCAAATTCTCTACATATTTATTTTATACTAAATATTTAAGTATTTGCTTTAAATAAGCATTTAATTTTTACACAATTTTCGTAATATGAACAATAACAAATGGGTTCCATGTTGTCAGATAATAAGTGTTGCCATATCCAAACGGATGAAAGCAATCAAAATAAATAAAAAACCCAATCACCCCCTACAAAATATTATGAACTTAATTTACCATTTTAATAAAGGAAAAAGGTTTATGGCTTAAACGTATGTTTATTGCATCTGATAATTTCACAAATGGATCATGATGCTGATTTACTATATTTTTACGCCATATGTATTCATATATCAAATTTTCAAAATCTTCACTGTTATTATAATTATTCTTAATAAAAATTGAAGTTTATAGAGAGTGATATATTCTCTTTAACATTGCTTTTTAAGATTTTTCATTTGCATGGCGGCCTTCGCCGCGCTTCAAAAATAACCTTGGTCGGTCAAACACCGGGTGTTCATAATTCAATCGCGTCAGACTTCTTTCTGCACTGGCGGCCTTCGGCCGCTTTAAAAGTAACCCTGGCCAATCCATAATTAATCAATAGAAGAGAATGAAAAATTATAGTTCATGTATTTGGGTATAATCATTTTAGCTTTCAAAATATATATATATATGATAGCAACATTCTTTTATCTGACACCATAACTTTGTTATTGTTCATATTACGAAATTAAAAATTAAGCTATTATTTAAAGCAAATACTTAAATATTTAATATAAAATAAATATGCAGAAACATTGAAGTGAAAAGTTAGTGTATAATAAGTGCATAATATAAAGAAAAGATAACCATAATTCGAGAAATTGTAAAATGAAATTTGTGAAATTTTCAAATTTAAATGCAAATATCTCGAAAACTATAAGTTATATAATATATATAATAATTATATATATTCGTGATCTGGAGAATCTCCTCTAGCCAACCATACCCTCTTAACCTGAAATCGTGGGATGCTAAACTAAAGCCCACCCAAAAAGTCCACAATTCGAGTCTAGTTTTCCCATTCCTTTTCACAAAATTTTCGTAAATATTTGTGCGTTCGACTGCGCAACACTTAGAGCGTGCTGCATATTTCATTTGTATGTTGAGATGATGGTCACACATTTTACTTGCAATGAATTACCATGAATATGGTAGAACAATGTGCATAATACCTACCCGCTTAAAGTTTCAAAGAAATATTAAGACGGAATTCCTAATCCACCAGAATGTATTGAATATCCGCTACTAATATTTTTAAGCCAAATTTATAACAAGAATTTTCTAATCATTAAGTATTAAGAATTCGATATTTCCTTACTCTGTATTAAAAATTCATAATTTCATTACTCCATAATCTATATCTTAATTTCCTCCTTATTTACAATTTTAAAAATATTTCTATTATTCTATGCATACATATTTGCATCTTACATACAAAAGATAGATAACAGTTCAACTTTGTGAACGAATTCATTTGAAACCGAGCGCTCTTGCAACCGTTCAAAGAATTTGAAAGTGAAAAGGAATGCTGAAAAGGGTAGAAGCGAGCTGAAACTAACAAAAACTAAGCGTGCCACCCGAAGACGATAGGCACGGTCCTTCGTCTTTCCTCGTCGTCCCTTTGCCAACAATAAACCGGTTTGGGTTAAAAGAGTCCCAATGTATAAGCACACTAAGCAAACTATCGGATAATTCCCAAAAACTCTCGGGCGAAATTCTCAGCTTGTTGAAAACCATGATCTCAAAGAATTTGGGCACTGCCACTTCATGGTGTTAAAAATAACTAACAAAATCAATTCTTAATTTTTCATAAGAAAAGGATAATCGTAAGCAACAAATAAAGTGACTGAATATAAATTTAAACAAATTTTATAATTGTGTTTATTGAATATAATATTGCTAAGTTTATTATTTCAGTTAACTTCTTTAAACTTGACCGAAAAAGGAGTCTTGATTAGTTTTAATCATAACATGATATGAAGCTGTCAGCTATAAAATCTATTCGCGCGTTATTTTTATATATTATATTAAGCATATATTCATTCATATATGCACTTTACATACAAAAAGAGTAAACGGATTTAAATATCCGAACATGAGGTAAATATTCTTTTGAAACCGACCACTGTTGCTACCATGAAAGGTTTAAGAAGAAATGCCGAATTGAGTAGCAGCGAACTGTTACGAAAATAAGACAAAGCGTTCCACCCATGCGCCGCAGTCTCTCCTCGTCGTTCCTTCCCTACGAAAACGGTTTTGGGCAGCAAAAATGCCTTAGTCTGAACATGCACATACATTTACACAATTTCGTTTTTACAATATAGTTTTGCAAACTGTTTTCGCGAAGCATTCACAATAATCGAACTATATGTAGGTCAGCTAACCACCACTTGGGAAAACGGTTGTGTAGTTAAAGCTATCATCCAGTTAACTACCAGCGGTTGTATATTATTAACCAGATATTGAGGAAATTGCCCTAAGAATCGGTGTGTGGGAAGGAGGCGGTTTTCAATAACTAACAACAACTAACAAAAATGGATGGACACTGGTTGGTAAATTATTTTAATTAATAGTAATATATAATTATTTTGTAAAATTTAGAAATCATTTTCATAACTATAATAAATTAATCAGAAATATTTTATATATATATATGTCGCTTCTCAAAGTGCAGTTATTGAAAAACTGTCAAACTGCGGTTGCGATAAATTTAGCTCCTATACCTAGTTTTTAGGTAAATTACAAGTAACCTAATTCGACTATCAAATTAGGCACATTAATCCTCAGGTTCAAACAACCTATTATTACTTGCAACTGTAGCAGAAGACACACAGACTAAAGAAAAAGATTCCTGAATAGAGAAGACTCAGTGTTCAGCAATTGTTAAGTCCATGAACACAAGCAATGGATAAAAATAAAACCGCACGTATATCGCCGGGGCCTTACAAATAGAAGTGTCCCAACTAACTTCGAAAGAGCAGGATAAATTAAAGCTGAAATGGACGAATTGAAAGATCGTCTCCGCGAGACAATCTTTGACAGCACAATTCTATTCAAAGACGGCAGCTGCAATTAATTGTACTAAGAATCTACAGCAGAAATCTTACAAACCATCTTAATTGCGAGTCGAGTAGCTAGAAACGATGAACGCTGTAGAAAGACTGTATGATTGATTGATTGATTGATTGAGGTATGCACTGCGACCTGTGGTCTTGTGCCCTCCCTAAGTCACAGCGACTCATCTGCCTAGCATATTGATGAACTCAATATACTGCTTGGTGCCAATGAGGCGATGCGATCCCTGTTTGGATACATGGATCCCAGGGCCTTGACTCTACGTCCCAGACTGCTGTGCAGTCCACTATCAGGTGTTCGGGTTTCCAGACTCCATGTCGAGAACCAGCAGTTTGCAGAGGAGACCAAGCCCATGTTAAATAAATGCTTGTTGAGCCTGCAATGTCCGGTGTAGAACGCGCCCAAGGTCGAATCTGTTCCTCGGGAGATTACGGTTTTAAACCGTCTGAGGTTACTCCTATTACAACTTGGCATGGCGCATGCGGAATGTTGCCAATGTCTTTCCCTGCCTGCTCTTTCCTCTTTACGAAGCTCCTTAATAATGGACCAACCGCTACGCACGGTTCTGGTCCACCATGTTTGTAGAGGCTGCAGAGCGGCTAACTCGTCAGCAAGTTCGTTTCCTGCTATCCTCGACCAGGCACCCAGATGAGGCGCACTATGTTGAGACTGATAAGCTGTTCAGCCGTTCTATACACTCCTGCACTGTAGCGATTTGACCTCAAAGCCGAGATCGCTTTAAGTGCTGCCTGACTATCGCTGAGTATGGCGATGCTCTTTGCGGTAGTCGCGTTGGAGGTTTATTTCTACACACGACTTATAGCATATACCTCCGCCTGAATATGCTAGAAAACTTCCATGGGAATGGAGAGCTGGTGCGTGGTTCTGCGGCCCTGCCAATCCCCCGCCGTTTTCGAGCCGTCGGTGTACCACTTGATGTAGCTGTTCTTTGTAGTAGGTCCAGCGTGGAATCGTTCCATTCTGCCTTACCAAGGGTAACCTTGAACTTCCTAGTGAAGCTTCTGTTTTGGTAATGCTGTCCCTTGCAAGAAGGGCCAGTGGCATTGCGTCACTTAGGCCTTCATCTGCTGG